TTTGGATGAATATGTTGCTACTGTTCGTGCTGCCAAATTGGCTGAACTTACTTCCAGTTATGAGGTATTACTACCAGTTATCTATAATGTCTTTGTGATGTGCTCTTTTTTTTTTTTGTTTTTTTTTTTTTTTTGAAACTTAATTTGTCAGATTTTTATCTAAATTGGGCCTGTATGTAGCTTTAAGCCTGTAACACCTCTTTTTTCCTCGTTTTGTGAAATCTTATGAGCTACTGTAAAGACATTTAGATTTAAAAAAGGTGAAGAGCTACTGACATTCTTTAGCTCCTTAATCCATACTATGGTACCTGACATATACAGTTATTATTACTTTCCAAATTCTCTTTTTTTAAGAATAAATCTATAAAACCTTTTCAAGGAGAACTCAAGAGCTACCAATGCTCTCTATCTCCTTATGTCAATTGAGCAACATCTAAATTGGTTTTGCTGGAGCCTGAAGTTGGGTGAAATGCTTGTAGTCTTGGCCAGTCTTAGAGCTGCTTACCTAGCAAAAGAAGATAGTGGATTATGCCATAGGCATTGGGTAAAACCTTTCACCAAGCTTTCATATCCTTCTGATTATATCCATCCTAAGCCCTTATAATTATTTCCTTCTTTTCAAATTTATTGTGTCGAGTGAACCTACAGTAACTTTCACAATGATATAGCCATATAGTTTTTTAATGTCCTTGGTTAAATTTATTGTGGAATAACTAATTTATTCAAGCTTTGTATTCTTTTCTAAATACATTGTTAAAATTGATCTTTAACATTTTATTTACCGTGCCCATTGCAGGAAAAATTAAACGAGGCTCTTGCAGGGCCTGTTGAGGCACTTTTGGATGGTGCAAATGATGAGACCTGGCCATCAATTAAAAAAACTTCTTCGACGTGAGACTCAGTCAGCAGTTTCTGGCCTAGCTAATGATCTTTCTGGTTTTGACTTGGATGAGGTAACCAGAGACAAAATGGTAGCAAGATTAGAGGATTATGCAAGAGGTGTGGTTGAGGGAAAAGCCAAGGAAGAAGCAGGAAAGATATTGATCCGTATGAAGGATAGGTAAGGGCCGAATATTGTGAATGTGCAATTTGGTAAATTAGAATTCTTTTTAGTTTCTTTTGAGAGCTCTGAGTATGATTTTCCCCTTTCCCTCTTGTTTAGATTCACGATGTTGTTTAGCCATGACTCCGACTCAATGCCGCGGGTTTGGACTGGGAAAGAGGATATTAAGGCTATTACAAAACTTGCTCGTTCTGCGGTATGATATTTTGGTGAAATTTTGTTGCTTTATGTATTTGCTTTCCTCATTATAATATATAATTTATACTGTTCTACATTGGTAATGTAAAATGCTTTTGCAGTCCCTTAAACTGCTCTCTGTTCTGGCTGCAATTCGGTTGGATGACGAATCTGATGATATTGACAAAACATTAGTTCTTGCTTTAGTGGATAAAAGTAATTCTACTGATAGGAGTCTGACAGTGTCTGATCCGCTAGCATCAAGCAGCTGGGAGAAGGTGTGCTTCTTTTACTTTTAAATGCTGTTAGATTATATGTATTGTTTTCACTTTCAAAGTTTTATTAGAGGCATTAGCATAGATGGTAAATTATTAGGAGCTCAAATTTGTGACCTGCTATGTTGCTTAGAACCATATGCTTCTTGCAACTTACTCATTCCTCTACTAACTAATTTACACATTACTAAAAATGGCAAGGACCCTCTAATATTTAATTGTTTTTCTATCTTACACAATGGCCCATCACTTTTAAGGTTTATATTAAAATAATCCTCATTCCCCACTCAAACATTCCACCAACTTCACTTTACATTAAACAATTCAATAAAATTACCCCGCTCAAACTTTTCTTAAACTCTGTGCCCAATTCAATGTGTCAATCAGATGAGAATGGATGGAGTAATTGTTTATTACTATTCTCAGACTTTAATTGACTAGCTTTTCTTCAAGGATTGTTTGGAACTTTGGCGGTGGTGGATTTGACTAGGTTGAGGTCAATCTCACACACCCAACCTCAGTTGGAGAGAGATTCATATATGAAACGATTTGGAATTCAAAAGATATGGTATTGATTGTATTAAAGAAGCTATAGAACCCGGGGGAGGGAGATTGTGTTGGAGAAATGGTTGGATGTATCGGACTGATTTTAAGAGGTGGCATTAGGGTCCATTGAGTTTGTAGTAAGTCAGTGAAGTTGGGTGAAGTCGTGGAGGTAGTGCACTTGGCTTATTGGAAGCTTAATGAATACGGAGGACATATCTTTTGACCTTGCTGTAGCAGGATTACTACTGGGTAGTGGTTGTTGAGGGTGTTATTGGTTTAAGATTTTAGTCAATTCCTAGCTCCTTACACAATTAGACTTGTAGATGGTTGGTGTGTATCCTCCATTCCAATCAATTTCTCTTGCATGTCAAGCTAAATAGTTGAGGACTTGAGCTTGTATCATAGATGGTTTACTGTCCAGCAAAAAAGCCCATGCTGAGAAGCTCCCGACTTGTTTTAAGAAAGCTTACTGAGTCTGCACTCATCAGTTCTGTCTAGTTTTCTGCTGTTTAGAATAGTTATTTTACTGAAATTTGTCACTGCCTTTTTTGTGCTGTTTGAAATAATAGGGAAAAAGTTATCTGCTCTCTATAATTATAGTCATCATTTGAAATTATCTCCCCAGCGCCATGACATCTCTATAATTTGAGTGTAGGTTCCATCGTCGAAGACTTTGATAACTCCTGTCCAATGCAAACAATTGTGGAGGCAATTCCAGATGGAGACAGAATATACTGTTAGTCAGGCCATTGCTGCTCAGGCATGAATTCATCTCCTTGAGATCTTGAATCGTCTTCTTGTCTGTTATTTTGTATTACTAGTAACAAAAGCAGTTACTTTGACCTGCTGATTATTTTCTAAAGTAGCATCTGTGTAGCAGAGCTTGTCTTTTTCACATATATTGCTCTTTAATTTCTCAGGAGGCCAGCAGGCGTAGCAACAATTGGTTGCCACCTCCATGGGCAATTGCTGCCATGCTCATTTTAGGTTTTAATGAGTTCATGACCCTTTTAAGGTACAACTTTCTCCATATGTTCATTAATTTCTCAATTCATTCTTATTCTTTTTTTGCTCACTGTTAGTGTTTCATCTTGTGTCAGGAATCCACTTTATCTTCTCGTCCTCTTTGTTGCCTTTCTAGTAAGCAAAGCATTGTGGGTGCAAATGGATGTATCAAATGAATTCCGTCATGGTGTTGTAAGTTTTATTGGTCAAAATTATATTGATTGAAGTCTCTTCTGTGCATGTTGTGTACTGGTATTTTTCTTTTGCTTGTTGTAAACAATTGACAGGACCTCAGTTATTGCATCTCTGATCAGTCAGGCTATTACAGTTCATAATTTTAAAATCAACTGCTATATTTCATGATGTTAGAACTTGAATAGATTAGAGTGATGTTGGAGACAGAATTGTAGATGTAGCATGTTCCTCATGTCTAGAAAGTAAATTTAAGGAGAAAAAACGTAGCATTTGAGCACTACTTGCTGTGTTTTTCTACCTATCTGTGTATTGTTTTGTGATTTGTCTGTGCACTATGTTAGCCTGATTCTGTTTGTGTTTTTTTTTTCCTTTCAGCTTCCTGGATTCCTTTCCTTGTCAACTAGAGTTTTACCCACTGTTATGAACATGCTCAAAAACTTAGCGGAGCAAGGAAACAGACCAGCAACTGCTGGTGCTCACACAAATCCACCCCTAGCAGCTAACAGCTTCAGAGGTGTAAATTCTGACGGTGTTTCATCGACTGGTTCTTCCCATGTAACAACAAATGAAAACGGAACAGAGTATTCGAGTGCTTCTAAGGAAGATTAGATGGATTAGTTTGATTGCATGAAGGAAATGTTCCGAGATTACCCCTATAAGCACGTGCTGCTTCTTAATCGAGGGATGCAGATTTGTACTTGGTCATATATGGCAACCATTATAGCAAGTTGTATGAAACACAGATGATGATTGGTTGAAGGCATCGATTTTTGTCTACATGCTCAACATGCACAGGTCCTGGGTCTCTTATGGAGAACCTGTTGATATAGTTTTTTCATTTTTCCTTGTTCTCTTGTTCTCCCCTCGTTGCTCATGTTATGGGTCTGTTAGATGATGATCCTGTATGGTTTTGGTTCGTATGTCTAAAATGGTTGTGCCTCAGCTTGTCAATTTTTTTTGTAAAAGTTCCATTGTATCTTGAAAAGAAACTTTCTTGCCTAATACGTAGTAGTTGAGATCTTGAGAATGATATGAGCAATTATATAAGTGGACGGATATATTGGATTTAGATTTGTTATCTAAAGAAATCTGCTCTGCTTAGTACTTATTGATTTTTTTAATTTATTTTGAATCTTTTGTTTTCTCAGTCCTCACCCAAAACTTAGAAAATTGCCTCCCTAGAGTCCAACTAATACACTGATAGCTTAACTATTAAGGGTCTGTTCTCATTGACTGAACTCAGTTGAGCTGAACTGAACTGAACTGAATATTTTATAAGAGAAGGAAATTAGGAAATGAAGTGAACTGAATTTCAACGTAAGAGAACAAGTCATCTCAAATATTTCATTACTTGTACTTGAATTAAAGGAGTAATCCGTATTATTTTTAAGAGTAATTTGATTTGCTACCATGGACATCCATCCAAAGAATTAGAGGTGAAAATGATATTTTCTTTGTTCCTCTAATATTGCCCAATTTATGATGATTAAGAAATCGAGTTAAACTATCACAATTAACCTTCACTCTCAATTACGTAAACAATCTACTAAATTTCAGATGAAGTTTGTATTTTGATTTCCTATTTTTTTTTTTTCCTACCATTTACATGTATATATAAGTAGACAATGAATCCGGAAATTACAATAACAATTATAATTTATCCGTTGAGCATCTTATCCTAAGTTGAGACAACCAATAGCACAATGCCATGTAAGCAAGAAATGAATATAGTTCATCTAACAAGAAGTTAGCCACACAAGAAGTTTTGTGGTTGTGGTGAAAGTAGTAGCATCCCTCCATTTTTAAGATCTTTGAAACAAACTTCACCCCACTAACAATTTAATTTGGTGAAGTTTTGGAAAATAATACTCCGATAGTTTGAATGGCATCAGTTGTAATGACTTCTCTTCCACACTTCACCGGGCTTAGACCCCAGCAAGCTTCCTTCCCTGTTAAGACTTTGGTTTGTGTTTTTAACTCTTGTTACTTCAAATTGCATTTTATGCTTTTATCTATGAATCTTATTTTAATATTTTTATTTGTCGCGCTATTAGTTTAATAATGTTATATTGATATATCTAGCATTGTTGTACAAGGATTGTGTTGGGACTTGTTAGTATATAAGTAAGTAGCATGTTAAATTATGGTAAAGCTTAGAAAATGATTTAATGAAGCAATTTAATTGATCCGATTGTTGTACATTTTTTGCAGTCATCAAGTCTGCCAATGAGGGGCAAAGGAAAGGGTGCATTGGGTGCACGATGTGGTGATTTCATCGGCTCATCCACTAACTTGGTAAGTTGAGGAGTGTTAGAGATATGATATCATCAATATCGGAAAATATATATGTCATATATATTTTCCGATATTGATGATATCATATCTCTAACAAGGAGGCTCATCGATTTTGTTCTTGTACATAGTAAAGATTAACTTTGTTTGTGTGATTCACTCCTGGTGATTGATGGACAGATAATGGTGACCTCAACAACACTAATGTTGTTTGCTGGAAGATTTGGGCTAGCACCGTCAGCGAATAGGAAAGCAACAGCTGGTTTGAAATTGGAAGTAAGAGACTCTGGATTACAAACTGGTGACCCTGCTGGTTTTACACTTGCAGACACTCTTGCTTGTGGCACTGTTGGTCACATCATTGGTGTTGGTGTTGTACTTGGTCTCAAGAACATTGGGGCTATTTAAATTTAATGTCTTCTTATATTATGTGTTGCCTTGAGCTTGTAAAATACTCATTTTTAAATGTTACTCGTATTGTGCATTATGCAATGTCTCCATGTTTATTCACATTAATGACCGTCTCTTACAAACTTGTTTATTATATATAATAAGATTGATTCATTGATAAATGATCAGAAAAGAGCTACAACAAAAATTTTAATCTAACAAATGTGTAACAAATCAATCAAAAGAAAAACTTCCTTCAACAAAGCTGCAATCTCTACACTTTGAACATTTTGGGTATCATCTTTGTATCATTGTAATTTACACACTTATTCAATGAAAAGGTTTATTGATATATTGTAGTGTCCAAGATAATTTCCACCTTATTTATCTAATTGGTGCTGTATTTCCTCGATTCAAGCATATGTTTAAGGAGGAAACACAAAACTTCACAACTTCAAGTGTCAAAATGTCCAAAAACAAAAAAATATGGCAACTTTTAGGCCTTAAAATTTGTGTTTACTATGATGATTCAATTTCATTATTCAAAATACAGTTAAAATTATTGCCTAAAAAAATTAAACAGAAGGAATATGAGAGCAACTCCAATGGTAAGCTAATTGTGAAATTAGCTTGCCATGCCACCTAAGATTGCAAAGCTAATCTACCTTGTAGCTAATTAATCCCACAATGGTTAAGCTAATTTTCAATAATTTTTTTTTATTTATTTAATTTTTTTTAATTCCCACAATTTGCTAAGCTAATTAGCTTAGCTAAGCAAATAGCTTTGCCCAGCTAATTTGGTAATGCAATTTCAATAGTTAAGCTAATTATTTATTAGTTTCATAAATTGCAAGTTAGTCCTAATTTTACACTGTTGGAGTTGCTCTGAGATAATGATTTATGCATCGTGTGTTTATATGCCTAGAATTATTATCGGATTAATTAAATTATATGGCCAATGTATTTGGTATATATGAATATGGCTACTTGAACCTACAGCTGTCAAAAGTTTACCCGATCCGAAATACTGACTCAAACCCGATTATTAACCGAACCATCTGAACCCGAAAAAATGGTGACCCAAACCTGACCTGACCTGACCTGAAACCAACCCTAGACCCGAGTTGACCCGAGTATGTGAGACCTGAACCCGAATATGATGACCTGACCTGGAGATGACCCGACCTGAATGTAACCCGTAAATTATTGACCTGAACCGAACCCGACTTGAACCGAAATTGACCCAAACCCGTTTTAACCCGTCACAACCCGAATTTTACCCGACTTGTTACTAACCTGACTTGAATTCAACCTGACCCGTTCCTAACCCGACCCGAATTTTTCTCAACCTGTTACAAACCGACCCGAAATCAACCCGAATAGTTATTAACCTGACCCAAATTCAACCAGACTTATTAATGACCCGACCCGAATTTTAACAGACCTATTACTAACCCGACCAAAAAATTCAACCCGATCTGTTACAAACCCGACCTAAACTCAACCCAAATTGTTCCTGGCCCAACTTCAAATCACCTTAAATGCAATTTAGACCACATTATTATAATTGATCAAAGCATTTTGTCTAGGGAGACCACGTCGGTCCACACTAGCAAAAGAAAGGAGCATCATCCTCAAATTTAAGACTTAAATATAATATATATTTGTTGTATGGTCAAAGGAGATAATTATCTTCCTAAATTATAGACTATAGTTCCCTAGTATATTGCCATATATGTTATAGTCAAAGGAAATAATTAGCTTGATAAAAATGATTAGTTAGTTGAACCCGAATATGACCTGACTTGGAAATGACCCGACCTGATTGTAACCTGCAAATAATCCTGGGCACCGTGCCGTGCCGGGCCGCCGCGGGCCGTGCCTGGCGGGCCACGGGCTGGTTCGTGCCGTGCCGGTCGTGCCGGCGGGCCCAGGATTTCGTGTCGTGCCGTGCCGGCCATTTTCACAGGCCAGCCCACGGCACGGCACGGCCCTCGTGCCTGGCGGGCTCGTGCCGTGCCGGCCACGTGCCGGCCTGCGGGCTGGCCTGCGCGGGCTGGTGCAGTTTTCATTTTTTTTTTTTTTTTTTTTTTTTTAATGACAACATTATAAATTAATAAGTTTATAATGTATATAAGTTATAAAATTATAATTATAAGTTTTATAAGGTAACTTATAAGTTTATAACTTATAAGTTATAAGTTATTAAGTTATCAATTTTATAATTATAAGTTGAATATTTATGTTTTATAATTTGTATATTCAATATTTATATTTATATATTTACTTTATACTATTACTTTAAAATTTAATGTTTATGATTTATTAGTAATTGGTATAATTTTATTTTTTTTTAATATGAATTTACAAATTGTAACAAAACGGGGAAAAAAGGCAAATTGGACTTTGGATGTGAATAATGCGTACTTTATATTATTATTACTTGAGTTGAGAAAATTGTACAATGATAACAATGATAAAAATCATACAATGATGGTATTAAACAAAAATTGGAAAATGATAAAATTGATATTTTTAAAATCGTACAATATACAATAATTGTCTATTCTTCTTCTCCTTCTTCTTGCTCGTCTTCGTCTTCGTCTTCGTCTTCGTCTTCGTCTTCGTCTTCGCCTTCGCCTTCAAGGTCATCGGCTAGTTGCATAGATTGGGAACTAGCCGAACCCGAACCGGAAGCGGAGGTTCCTTCTTCGTTGTCGTTGTGGTCGTAAGAACGGTCTTGTGAGCGATTTTCCGCATCCAACCAATCTTTGAAACACACGCACATTTCTAGTGTTTCGGGTTTTAGACTTGTTCTTCTATCGTCTAAAACCCTTCCGGATGCGCTGAAAGCTCGTTCGGAGGCGACGGAGGAAACTTGGATAGCAAGAATGTCTCGTGCCATTGCCGCCAAAGTTGGATGCTTCGAGCTTTGTTGTTTCCACCATGCAAGGAGGTCGAGGCTGTTTATCTCATCGTCGTCCATGCCTTTGGTGAAGTCGTAACTCAGGTACATCTGCAACTCCGAGACGTCGCTTTGCGTTCTCCTGATTGATGAATCACCTGAAAACCTTGAAATCAAGTTAGTAGCTTGTGAAAATAAATGTTTGGCCTTCTTACTTACGTTTTTGGATGGTTGGGAAGGCCCTGAGCGAGGAACGGTGCCATATTTGGCTTCATAGACTCTATATAAAGCAAAAAACTGATCCTTCACATTAGTCTTATAGTTTTCTACATCATCGTCAAGAAACATGCATTGAAAGTAAATGTCAACTAACATAAATGTGTTTTCATACTTTTGCCTAGGATCTAATATGGAAGCAAAAATATAAATCAAAGGAATCTCACTATAATATTTACGCCACTTTTTTCCATTGCTGGAAGATACTGATCATAATCACTTTGATCGCGATGATCAGCGAAAAGTTGGGCGAGTAAGCATGCATTAGAAAGAAAGTTTTGAGCACAAGGATTGTAAACAGTAGAAAAACAATACGTCATGTTATATAATAACTGTAAAAATTGCATATATCTTTCACAGTTTTTCCAATCATCATCATACAAAGCATTTTGTGGAAATTTTTGGTTGTAAAATAATGTTAACGGGCCCTTGTACTCAATTGCCTTTGTTAACATGTCATAGGTGGAATTCCACCTAGTTGGGCAATCGGTTCTAATTTTTATTACCCTTATCTTTTGTTGTTTTAGAAAACTCTTCCATTCTTGGTATCTCATGTTAGAGCTATTAATAGACATAATAGCATCTCTGATTTTGCTGTAGTATGGGCCAATTGCCCGAACTCCATCCTGTACACATAAGTTAAGTACATGGCAAACACATCTAGTATGAAGAGCTTCACCGTCTAATAGTACATCGGTTAAGTTTTGTTTGATAAGATTAGCTGTGTATGTCATAGAGGTTGCATTATCAAAAGTCATAGACATCATTTTATCTCGAAGGTTGTATTCGTCTATTGCTTGCATTAAATGGTGAGCAATGTTAATGCCGGTGTGTGGGTATTCCAGCATTTTGAAATGTATTATTCTTTTTTGTAACATCCATTGATCATCTACCCAATGGCAAGTCACACATAAATAGTGATATTTATAACCACTATCCCAAGAATCGGCTGTTAAAGATACTCTACAGTTAAGGTTACTCAATTCGGCTTGTAACCGGACTTTGTACTCTAGGAAATTTTTCATTGCGGCGGAACGAACGGTTTTCCTAGAGATTCTTTTATGTTGGGGTTGTAGTGCTTTGTTAATGTAGGTGTTGAATGCGTCACTTTCCGAGAAAAGAAAAGGTTGTTCGGCGTGTACTATCATTTTTCCTAGTTCATCCCTATCCCTCTCATAGTTGTATGTAAAGCCGTATGGATGGAATTGGGAAATTTTGGGCTGGGTTGGATCACTAGCTGGTTTTGCACAAGCTTTCATGTGTCTAGATAAGTGTCCCGTCCCGTTTTTGGTAACTGCCGTGAATACACTATTACATGTTTTACATTTTGCCCATTGTTCACCATCTTTACTTAGGACAAAATAACGCCATACCTCACTTCTTCGGTTTTTCAAAAGTAGCATCTCAGTTTCGGTTAACCATTCATGATGTGTGTGATGGTTAGTAGGGGGACTAGTGGGAGTGGCAGTAGAAGGGGTAGAACCGGAGGGAATTCGGGTACTTTCTTGGCTACCTTGGCTAGAACAATAGTTTTGTTGATTACCGATATAATTAGGTGGAAATTGGTATGGTGGTAGTGGAAATTGGTTTAGTGGTGGTGCTGGAAATCCCGACGTATTATATGGCTCATAGCCCGGGGGGAAGTAAATGGGGTCATTGGTTTGACTCGTAATTTGGGGGCTCGTTGTATTTGGTGGTTCCCTAGAACTACTACTACGGATAAGTCGGCCTTTCCCCCTAGACCTAGATGATGGGTTGTTCGATGCCATAATTAACAATTAATTTTTTAATAAAAAGTGGTTAACTATAATAATAATAATTAATAACAACAATTTTAACAATAAAAATATCAATAATAATAATTAATAACAACAACTATAACAATAACAATAACAACAAAAATAAATAATAACAACAATTGTAACAATAATAATAATTAATAACA